ACTCCATGACAGCTGTCATAGTTTTCCCTTTAGGGCGTGAATACAAGCTAGTTTTACTCCGAAAACGCTTCACAAATGCATATACTTTAAAGCAGGTAGCTCTTACATGCTTTACTCTAACCATTTAATCAGTGAACTGAGGAATTATTTAAACCAGAGTTTCTTAAACTGTGGCGCGGAAACTGTAGCAAAATGTTTATCGGCAAAAATTTTAACAGTTTTGATATTTCTTTATCTTATTATAATAATTTTACAAATACCAGATATTTTTACACGATGTATCTGAAAAATAGATAAAGATGAGAAAATACAGACAAAGAAAAAACGAAAACATTTCGACGCATTCTTTTTATAATAGAAACGTTCATTTTACTGGTTTTGCACGTGACGCTGTCATTTCGTCTCCTGCTTATTTAAATTTTCTCATTTTCTACGTCTTAAAATTCGAAATTTAAGCTACTGACCTAAAACTGCAATAGTGTATTACAATACAAGTGAAAAAATTAATAATTTCACTCACGCGTGTGTCGGATTTTCACAATGCTTATGGGGTCCCACAAACTTTTCGTAAATATTATGGGGTCCTAGGGTCGCGAAAAAAACTCAGAGATAAAAAGGGGTCGCGAATGAAAAAAGTTTCAGAAGCCCTGATCTAAACAATATTGTAGAGTATTCATTTATTTGTATTAATTAACCAGTTATTTTATGTTCAAGAGCTTTTATGTCATTCTCGCTTTCCTTTTTCCTGCCAGAGTACTAATTTCTAGTTCGCGTGTATTCAAATGAGGCAGAAAAGAGATGGTATTTAAAGAAAAGTTTTAAATGGTAGAATGAGAGCATGTTCCGCCTGCTGAAGGCCACGTTACCAGTTGAATAGCTTCGATAGCATTGCTTTATTCTCACCATTAGGTTTGTCACGCCGATATTAAGTCCGAGCCAACTTGTGCGCATTCTGTCTGTGTAGACTTTGGGCTACCTTACGATTTATTAAGTTAAATAAATGCAGAGTTACGGCATATATGCTGGCTGGTCCTGTAAGCACAATCTGCACCTTCTTTTAATTTATTCTGAGTTAATAAAAGAGTCTTTTACACCCAAGTTTGTTGTAAATTCCACCAGACAGTTCTCTGTTGTAAATTCCAAGACATAGCGATAATTCGCTTAAGTCATTCAGAGTTCTCATTTAGTTTAGGGGTTAACATAAAGGGTTAGACTCTATAATGTAATGTAAGTAATTTATACATTTCTCTCATTGGAGTTCTTCCGATTCCGAGCGAATGCACTACGAATATTTCAAGGTTTCCCTCTTATCAAGTCTTCCCGGCAACTAAATATGAAATGAAGTACTGATTTCAGCGACTAAGGTTAATTACTACTTACTAATTATTACTAATTAACTAAATAAAATTTCATTGTAAATGGTTGTCCGAAAATTAGGCTACATTTTCTGTATTTGTGTAAAGTATTTATGATAAGACAATAATTATTTCATTAACCTAGTTAAATATAATATAACACGAAAGCAAGCACAGACAGGAAGACAGTTACTTCCGGTCTCTTATTTTGAACTGCAGACTGGTCTATTTTGAATTTGTTATTAATAATATACGATACGAAATCGATACCGTTGTTCCATTTTACATAATTAGAAAATCCGTTTATTCTGCAATCAAGGGAAGCAGTGTTTGTGACATCACTTTGTCGTCCATTGTGTTGACATATATTGATCTTTGCCATTATAACGGACAACTCAATTTCTGAATGTAAATTTGTTCATTTGAAAATAATTTCATCAGCTTTATGACAATGGAAAATTCCATGAAATCATAGATCACATTCTGTACCACTTATAAAGTAACTTGTTGTAGAAACTAGCGAGCTCAATAAATAATATTTATACTCAATTTTATAATTATTTGATATTTATATTAAACAATATGAAGAATAGTATTATTTATATAAAAATTATGAAGCGTATTATTACTTATAGGACATGACATCAACCATGAAGGATAATATACTGAAACCATTTATTTCATGCTGTACATGAAAGTGTATACAACAATTATTTAATATTCATATTACATAGCTATGATATACACTGTTATCTGATGCATATGTCTCGTGAAGAATTATTGAAAATCCCTAAATAACTAATTACATTAAGATCGATAGTGAAGTTGATATTCTTAATAGCTATTTTACCTAGTACAGTTAGTTCAGCTAGTTTTGTTTGGAAAGAATTTAGGCACTATTCTGTTATCAGGACTGGATTCTGAAATGTATGTATGTACGCATGCACGTGTGTATGTATGTGCATATATGTGTATGTATATACATACACATACGTACGTACGTACATATATACATGCATTCATACATTTCTGATCCGGTCCCAATAATAGAAGAGTACCAAAATTTGTTATTAAGACTCAGAATTAAAGACGTAGATTGTATTCAAAAGTTTTATATCATTCGAATGTTACTTGTTTCAATAAAGCAAATTGAATAATTTAATTAATCATTTAGTAAGAAAGATGAAATATTTTTACGCTACATCTGAAAAATTTTATTTCAAAGCCTCCGGATTCAAAAAAACCTGAAACAGTTTCCTTTAGAAGATCCTCTACGAAAGCCCCCTCTTATGCAAATAGCTACTCTCCTGTTATGTAAATGGCCTTCAAGTATTTCTACACAATTAATTAATCTACTAAACTACAACAAATAATTCATCGCCCCAGTAGTAGTCGAATGATTAGGACTGTTGAAGTAGTTCGACCTGGGTTCGAACTTCGGGAATGGGCTGGCTGCATTATTGGTTTTCAATATGTGTAACGTCAATATGGGCCAGTTTTCTTTTAGAAAGTCCTTCACGAAGTCCTCCTTGAGCAAATGGGCTTGGCCATATTTAAATAAACTACAAGTAATTTATCAGATATAAATTAAGAAATAATAATAGTAAAAACTTGATAGGACTCGTTAGGAATTTTTAATTCACTGCAAAATTAAATTCGCTTGTAGCAGAAAGGCTCAAATTTCAATAAAATATTTCACAAATTTTTAGTACAGTACATACACAAATTTAATTTAGAAAGAAAATATTAATGAGTATATTTAGACGTCAGATAAAAGTTTGTATTTTTTGCATACAAGCCTAAGAGGGCCATCTCTCTATCTTTGAGGCCCACATAGATAATGACCTAATGTATAAGCCTCTGAATGCTGATAGTTCAACTCAGATTCGAATTCCCACAAACCACTTGGCTTCCTGGGCCTAAGCGAGACTTTCTATAATATAGCTAGAAAACGGTTTCTCTCAGAAAATCCTTTACAAAGGTAAATTTCTAATTCGGCACATAGCTTCGCGTACTTTGCTATAATTCTCTGAAACAAGCCAACGGATAATCTGACTGTGAAAATGATTTTCAAGAAAACCTGTCTGCGGCAAAAGGTTTGTATTTGTATAATACGTGTTTAAATTCACAAAAAATGGGCTTTATCCAGGACATTAAATAGGGTTAAACTTTTAACATTTTAGGCGACCTTAACTTTATAACCCTTGATGAGACAGTAAGCACGTTTCGTCGCTACCCTCATAAAAGAAGAAATTATTGTTAGCAATTTAAAGAATTCCGAAGTGTGTTTACTGCAGCCTTAATTTTAACAGACTTTGTTAGAAGCACTCCAATATATACATATATAAATTTTAATTTAACAAATGCAAAACATTACCTCATTCATATACAGCTAAATAATATTTTAAATTATGAAAATTCAATTATAAACAAATAAAAGATTAATTATTCCTGCGAACTAATTTACAATATCACTCAAATTCAGAAAGCATAAGTAAATTAAGTGCAAAAATCTTAGTACAGGAAAAAAATATTTAATAATCCGTAAACCAATCCTAAAAACTTTAAAGAATTTGTTAGACTAAATTATGTTGCATAAAGTGAATAATTCTTGAGCAGGCAGGAGACAGATGTTTTCAAGGGGAAGTTGCCTCCAAACCTAACTCTCCAATTATTCAATTCGTGTTTCGTCAATCATATAGACATGGGTAAAGAATTAAACAAAACCAAAAGTAGTGAATTGCCTAAATGAAAAATTTAACTTTAAAAAAATTTCGAGAAATTTAGTTAATCCACTTAGTACAGGAAAAAAATATTTAATAATCCGTAAACCAATCCTAAAAACTTTTATAATAAACAAATTATTAATAAAGAGCAAATTGCTAATGTAATTAAGAGTACAAATCCAAAGTAATTTAGAAACCTTAGCTTATTCTGGTACTTCTCCGACACGAATTATGGAAAAATAATTCCCCTCCCCCCAATGGCAGATTGTGAACAGTTACAGTGTAACACAGTCCATTAATCTATACAAGGCCATATGTGGTGGCCTCTTTATTATGGAGGCACCTACGAAGTGGCCATCATCGCCTCCTATGAAAGGACGGACTGTTATAACACTGCCTTCTCCGGGTTTCGAACTCAGGCATTTCGGTATCGCAGTCTGGCTTCCCTAACCACTATACCGCCTGATTGATATATATATATATTTCCAGCCGCCCAGACGGTATAGTGGAAAAGTTTTCGAAGCTTAGTTGGATGAAGGAAAGGAAAAAGGAATACAGAAAATGTTATATCCTAGATTAGTTATTTATTTTATTTACGTGCTCCTGCCTTAAACACTACACGGAAGGAAGGAATGCCTTCGTGGAGGACTTTCTAAAGGATATTGGCTCTCGTATACACGTAACACATGGAGAAAAACACGAAAACGCCCTTGCGGCCAGCCCGTTCGTGGAAATCGAACCCCGAACCGAACTACCAGTGTTCAGCGACTTTAGTTTGTTAGCACTTCGTTTTCGCTGCCACTGAATGTCCTTAAAAATTAGCAGAAACTTATATTACTCAAGACGAAAAAAGGGAGGAAATGTAAAAATATATGTATAAAACAAAAATAGATAAACAGAATGGCATGTGGTACTTTACCCTATCCATGGCATCCTCCATTGAAAGAAAACCATCCCTTACTAGTTGAAGAAGTAATCTCACTTGATCGTCTTCGGAACCAGGACCTCCAATGTCGCCGATTTGAAGCCGAGAACCTGAAAGAAACATATAAAGGTAACTTTCGCAAAAGTTTGATAGTTAGAAATTGCGTGGAAAGATTTAAGATTTGACCATTCCGCTTCTAGTACTGTATTTCCAAGGAAGCATTTATTCAAAAAATTATGAAAAGAAAATAATATTTTATTTATTTTAGACTTTATACAAATTTCAAGAACTTTTGTTTAATAAACTCAGCGATTTGAAAGCAAGAAGTTACAACATTTGTTCGAAATAAAACATTTTAATCTCCAGCGCGTCAGACTGTTTCTATTCGGCAAAATGTCAGATATTTATCTTTTCCGCAAATTTGGATATTCGAAAGCAATGTTTTGTCACTACCCCAAATAGTGTGTTGCCATTCAATAAAGCGTAAGATATTTAACTTTCAAGTTTAATCTTCTGTTACTGAGTAGCAAACCAAGCGATTGAAAAGCAATTAACGCAGCCCTTAAAAGTACTTTTTCTACTTTTAATCTGGCTGATTTAAATAAAAATACATTTTAATAATAAGATGTCTAAGTAGAAATATTAAATATTTTTATAAAATAACACTAGCTGAATTCATCAAAATCAATTAGTGACATTTTTCTTTTTTATAACTCTTTTAGACGCTTGTCGCTCAAGCGGTTAGTTTTCAAAGAAATAATATAAAGAATATTAAAAAAAAAAAAAAAAAACTGTGACAACGCCTAACACTTTTTCGGGAATTCTAAAAATATGCTGTTTTTATGGATTTCCTGTGACGTAAGTGTGAAGAAAAGTTGCTTAATAATAAAATTAAAAAGGCGAAAAACTGTATTCGCAGGAATGAGTCTTGGTACAGACTGATAATCTGCAATGCCCAAGGAAAGTATAAAAAACCTTAACAAATCCTCTAGTGTGACATTAAAATCTGAATCTTTCCAAATTTTCTTCCTTTTCTTTTTTTTAAAATTCTCTGTTCTTCACTGAAATGTTCGTATGGAACTTCTCTGACATTTAATCAAAATATTAATCTAAAGAATAAAATTACATCTGAATGAAATATTAGTTAATTTAATAAATTAAAAAATATATTTGACTCAAATAAAAGAGCCTAGAAAAGCCTTTTTTCTTTCCGAAGTTAAACGCTGCAAATTAAATTGCGAATTAGAAATAAAAAATAAAATTAAGATAAAGCATTATTTTAAAATCCAATCATTAAAATGAAAGTATATTCCAAACAAAAATAATTTTCATCATTATACAATAATTATAACGATCTTAAATACTAATAAAGCATTACTCTTAACAGCAAAAAGAAAGCATTTAGAATTTTAATCAAACGTCTGAAATTTTTTATGCAAAATTATATAGTTATTTTTTTATATAAAATCACACAAAATTTAATAGGAATAAAAGTAACTATTAAAAAATTGATAAAAATTATAATTAAATTTAAACATTCTATTTCCATGCTACGAAATTACGATTTGTAATACATTTTTAGTTATGTCGTTTATTTAATAAATTCGAAAATAATCTTCCCTTTGACGTCATTTATTTTTAAAATTTTTAATTTCTAATTTGAAAATAAAACTGCTATAAAATATTTTTATTGGCTTCCCTTATTATTTTAGTTTTATTGAATAAATTTGAAAATAAATCTTCTAAAAAAGTAAGCTGCCGTGACCAGGATTCGAACCTGGGGTTATTGCGGCCACAACGCAATGTACTAACCACTATACGATCACGGCCACACGAGAACGTGTCTCAACAACTTACTTTTCCGAAGAAACTGTCACAAATTGCTCTACTTTTAACTGAAGAGAAGGGTGGGGTGATCAAGCATGACCGAAAGATAGCCACAGGAAAACACTTCGAAAACTTTTATAATTTTTCCAATAACCGAAAGATGGCGCCAGAAGTAAAAGAGTGTTAATGAAGGCATTTCTGCGTCATATGGTTACCAGCCTTCTGATTAGCACACTTTTGTCTGAATCAAAAATAAAACATAATGAAAATATTAAAATTTTGTATCAAGATATACATATGTTTCTTTCCTGTTTTAAACGTTACTTAAATTTAAAAGATTCGTTTTTTAAACAGTAAAAGAGGGTATTACTTTTAATTAAAAAAAAAAAACGAATATACGGAATTTCAGGATTTAGTTTACATATTTTGCAAAAAAGTCAATTTAATATTTGACGTCTTGAACTTTTAATAATGTTAGAGTACCCATTTCGAACTTTATTCGTACATTACAATTAGAATTTGATGGAGTAGATAGATAGCAAGCTTTCTTCCTTACATTCGTATAAATTGTTTCCAAACTTTTGGATCCCATTATTCAGAAACTCAGATATTTAACTCGTTTCAGTAAGCGCCATAAATCAATAGAAATAAGATTTGATTAAAGACAAAATCTGAAAAATATTAATTGTTGAACTATATAAATTTCATATCAAATAAGCAAATTTAATATCAAATGAGCACACTAATTTTTAAACAATAATTGCTTGCCTTTAAACATTCCAGAAGTGATTTTCTTTATATCTTTCAAAAATTTCGATGCAAATTATAAATATTTTATCATATCTGTTCATAATATTTATTTCATATATTAAATGGGGACTTTACTATAGCCTGTTACTTTAAAATAGACACTTCAAGACCATTGCCAGCTCTCCCAATCTCCGATCGAAGCGCGTTTCTTCATCACCGCACAATACTTATTTTCTCTACTTCATTTGAGACTGTATTTCAAGTCAGTCTTCAATCACGCGCTTTTCATGAAATCCACATACTAAATGATGTAGAACACAATTTCAGCAAGTCGCCTTTTTTTCGCAGGTGTTGTTCCCATGGTTAAAAGACATATCGGGTGGAGCAAAATAACCTAAGTTCCTATTTGGAAGTAACAAACTACAGCTGTGTTACTTACAATAAATACTTTCATATTCATAATTTTATTCCTTCCTTTAATACACACACATACACATACGCACAACATACAAACAAGCAGACACGCACGTCCGCGCGCGCGCGCGCGCACACACATACACACACGGAAAAAAAAAAAAAAAAAACTGCATTTAAGATATGAAGGTCACTTAAATTAAGCGCACTTAAAACGAAATGAGCAATCATTCAAAGAATTATCTTTTTTCACAAATGGTTTAAAATGATAAAGAAGGTAAATTAACAGCTGATGAGTATTTCTCTGACAGTAGAAATCAGTAAATTTTATTATGTGAGCTAACTTATGGTGAAATTAATGTGAGGTAATAGAAGAAAATTAATTATGAAATGGGTTAATTATGAAATAGCCGCAGCCCATTTACAACCCACTCAAGTTGAGATTAAAATGCACATTTTAATTTCAGGAAGTAAAAAATGATAAGCAAGAAATTTTGGCAGCCGTTATGAAAACTTTTGCACTAAATAGTTTTAAATTCTTGCAACGATTTGATAAGCTCAGTCTACAAACTTCAAACAACAACGATGGTGCTGCCATCTGTCTACCTATTAAAATAACATTCAGAATTAGAAAATAATTATCAATGTAATAAGTTTTTTTTTATTACGATAGGAATTTTAGATGGGGGACGGGAAAGGAGATTCGTAGGATCAATCTTGATATTCCGCTGCCTAATATCAACATAACACAATACAATTTCAGGGCCTATCAGTATCGCGGAAAATTATTTACGCCACAAGTTTGGTAAAAATTTTATGTCAGAGTTTTTACATTAACTTTATTATAAATGTCTAACAGATTCGAAGCAGTAACAAAACTATCTCCGTATATTACATTATATATCTTTTTTAATCTCATCATTACCTTTAAGTATGAACCAGACAGATTCTCAAATCGAATTGAATTGAACCAGAATATTCTGCGAATATTGCGCAAAATGCGACGTGTCTGTAATACTGACAAATAAAGCCATAAAGATATAACATATATCTGTCATGGCCATAGTACCCAGAAGAAATATCAGTGTAACGAGATAAAATCAACATTGCAAAATAAAAGGAAGAGCTGGAGCATGTGTGAAGCAAAGCAAGCTGTAGGTTCAAACACAGGCAGTAGTTTAAAAACAGGAGGATACCGTTCTATATCAAAGGGATGGAAGAGACATCAAAATAGAATATAAATACAACACAAATACAATGAAAATATAAAACGATTGCAATTACAGAAATTGTAAAAGATGCAAATATAAAAACTAAGCAGGAGAATTTTCATTATTTTTGTGATGTGCAGCAAATATTCTAAGACCATAGTTCTCCTCAAGTATTTTATGATTGAAAAGGCTGAATGAATTTAAGTGTTCAAATCAACTGCTTTGTCATAAAATTTTGTGTTTGTCTTATTGAGATAGTGTCAAGTTTGAAAGCTTCATGGAGTGTCTGATATCTAACATAATAATGATCATTTGTAATAATGTGAAAGAAGGGATTTTAATTTTAATTTTTTTTTCTTTTTTTCTAATTTAAGGAGATTATTTTATGTAGCAGAGGTCCATGTAGATGAAGCATATATATATATATATAAACTAAAATAGGTCTGATTATAGAGGTGTACACAAGACGTCTGTTCTTAACGCCTTTACTTAATATTTTTACATAAGTGAAGGTGAACATTGTCAGAACAAAAATCTTTTTATTGCAGTATCTGCGAAGGGGCCAGAATCACACGCGTAATCTTACAAAAATCTTGAAATAAAATTCCATTTTACAACAAATCTAGATCAGTATTTTCCCAACGTTTTAGCTTCTTGATGTATAGTTGATATTTATTGCGATCCATATTCCATCTATAGCTTTTATCAAAGAAGAATGGACGGAAAGAAATAATCGAAAAGGATACAATGGAATAATGAACTAATAGATAAACAGAAATAGTAACATTAATAATAATTAATTAATTGGGTACTTTTCCGTTTCGCCGGCGCAAACCTCACCATTTCCCTTTCTCCGGCGCAAATCTCGCCAAGCAGACCTTATTGGCGACAACACACAGTATACACAT